AGAAACAAACCATGGGGCTGGACTTCTTCCCACAGTGCTGTTGAGGCTCCAGCACCACTGCTCTTGCATTGGATGCCTGGCAGTCAAACTCGAGAGCTGTAGCACCAGAACTTCAACAGCACCATGGCTTCTTCTCACGGCAGCAGCCAAGCACCTGGGCGTGAGCTGCAGCGCTGGAGCCTCAGTAGCACCATGGTATGTTCTCATGGCTGCAGCCAAGTACCCAAATGAAAACTGCAGAAGCACTGCAGCTTTTTCTCATAGTAGCAGTCAAGCACCCAGGCAAGAGCTATAGGGCTGGAGCTGCACCAGCACTGAGGCGTGTTCATGTGGCAGCTTCCATTGGGCTCCCATGCTGCTGCTCTTGTCTGGGCACAACAGCACTTTGGAAAGATAACTAACACTGCAGGCACTCTGCTGCTGCTGCTGCTGAAAGAACAAGCCATGGTACTGGGTTTGCACCATGGTGCTGCTGGGACTCCAAGGCCTTCCCTCTCACATGGGCACTTGGCAGCCACCATGAGAACAGAAAGGCCACGGTGCTGCTGGGGCTCCAGTGCCACACGTCTCACCTAAGAGCTTGCCTGCTGGGGCAGATAGATCCCACATCATAACCCGAGTCAAGGCAAAAGTCTCTGGGCTTGATGACCCAGCCCTGTGGGCCACATCTTGCTTGTGGCCCTATGTTTGGCATCCTGATTTATATAATCCCTGGTTTCAAATAATTTACACATTGTGATCCCAATTCTGTAAGATTCACATACCAAAGTCATCCCATCGAGTTCCAATAGATATCCAAGTTTACAAAGACACACTTGCAGCCCCCAGTTTTGCAAAGATTTATATGCACCACCCTTTGAGGTCAACAAGTCTATCACAAGCAAATACATTAGCATCTACCTCCACCTAGAAGAGTTTACATTTTAAAAATTTGACTGCTACAATAAACTAATAACATTTATACTTCAAATGTCACAATCTTGTTCATATTCTATGTTAATGAATGAGAAAGCGATAGGATAACTTTGTGATATGCTACAGCTTAATTTCAAGAGAAAACCTTAGGAAGCGACTCTGTGCAGTGATTCATGTAAGTAAGTAACCTCTGCATTTGCATGAAGTCTCACTCAGCAACTTTTGTGGGAAAGTGTCTGGGTGAGGTTCGGCCAATGCAGAGAAGCAAAAAACTGTAAGTAGCTACAGAGTAAGATAAAGAAAACTTGCATTTAACTAAAATAAAATGTTCTCTCTCACCCCTGCTGTTTTTCAGATAACACTAAGAAAGAATGATCCAACAGTTTACATTAAATTACTAAATAATTTTTCATCATTTTCTCTGGGTTGTAACAAATTCTTCAAAGAAAAGAAACAACACTTAGTTTAACTTTATAGATAATAATTGTATTTTGTTCAGAGAGATTAGATGTCCAGATAATTAACTAGGCAAAACAATGCCGACAACATCCAAACTGCTTAGACTATACTGAGCACAGGGAATCTGTAACTTTGGAACTGTTCCATGCTAGCAAAAAAATATTGCTTTCACTGTCAATATTGGCATCCAAAAAGCAAATTTAATTATGAATTGGCTGTAAATTAGTGCTCTACTCTAGCTAACTGTTCTACACAGAATGATGAAACTGCATCAGCATCATATTTAGTTACATAGTCACACTGGGTATGTCTACGTGTTCAATTAATGCAGTTTAGGTCATGCGCATTCAAGCTACTACCTCCATTACACAGTACTAGAAAAAGACACATTAGCCTATTTTAATGCGCATTAGCTAAACAAAATGTTTTTTGTAATCGTTTAATGCACATTAAAATAGGCTAATGCATATTAAAGTGGACATGTAGATGTGCCCATTGTTTAAAAGGTGACACCTTCAAATAAAAAAGTGATCCTCACTCATAGTAGTTAATGATCATAGAGAGCTTTTTGCAAGAGCAGAGGTGCTTAGTCTCCCCTGAAGTTTCAGTATTCTTTACTTCCTACCTGAAGATGCTGTATCCTATTACTCAAAGCAGATAGCAAACTTTGCCTTAGAGAATATGGTATCACTTTGTATGTCAAGTAATTCCAGCAACCTTGAACCCTACAGTATATCAGATCATCTACTGACTTCAGATCTCTGCATAAACAAGGTTCAGCTGAGCAGCTCTCGGTGCAGAAGTCAAGACCTAGCCCTACAAACTGATTTCAGAATCAGACTCCAGCTCTGCCCTCAGAGAGGTGCTACATGAATTAAATAAACAACACTGCTGAAGTGAGTTAGAACTAGAAATGGAGAGAAGCATTGACATGAATGATTATAAATACAAATCTTGTCATGTAAAAATGGAAACTAAACTTTTTTCAGAGGCTGTTCCATGCAGATACAAAAGATGGGCTGAAAGGTAGGGAGGGAAAAAAAAAGTTCAGATAGGAAAATAAGCAGATATACTAGGGGACCTGAGAAAGAATGAAAAATGAAGACCTACTCATAGTGCTGGTAACTTTTACCTTTCATTCCCACCACTTGCTAATTAAAAAAGCTATGGAATTACATGTTGACTAAGTATAAATAAAAGATCTACCTGCAGTTAATGAATGAACATGACCGGGTAAGTTTTAATTCCATTTCTAGGAAACAGATTTTAACAGGCTGCCTTTAAGTCAGATACACATTCACTATATCTACAGACTGCCTTCCAGATTAAAGCTTAGCAGGTTTTTTATACAATTTTATACAACTTTAAAAAAAAAAACGCCAAACAAGTTATCATCATAAGGAACCATACTGATCCCCATATGGCTTATTAGAAGGGATGGTTGCAGTCTGTATCTAGATTTAGATACAGACCCATACTCTTTGAGCCAACAGCGTAACTTTCTCCAGCTACCCTCCATGTGGACCATGAGAGATTTTACAAGTGTTTCACAGCCAGACAACAACTTGGGAATCTTGGCTTCTAATTCACATTCTAAAAGAATTGTGTATCTGTAAGCCTGTCTTCTGCACAAGCCCTCCAACAGCATCCACAATTTCAGGCCTGAATCCAAAGCTCTTAATCCACCTCCCTTCATAATTCCTGTCTTTTCCATGTGTTATCTACTCCTTCCCTTTCCCCCCTCTCTCACCCCAACACTTATTCTCTCTCCTAACAGGGTCCCTTCTTCCCCACCTCCTTTCTCTGTTGCTTATGCTTCTGCATTTAACTCTGTGCACTTTCTTCTCTCCCACACTGATACTACCAGAACAGGCATAAGAGCATAGGAATCTCTTCTCTCTGGCATCTGGTGCCAGGCACTATTGCAATCACTCCTAAATACAAGAAGCAATTCCAGATTAAGTCCTGCCTTGTCCTTGCCACCCTCAAATGGAGTACCCTCTCTCTCCGTGTTGAGATTGTGCCACTCACCATCCAGTTGCATGAATGAGTTCTGTGGAAATGGACCGTACCCAGCACAAGCTTATTTGTTGAATAATTTTGCTGACAGCATAACCTGCCAGATTCCTGGATTTTAAAAGCTGGACATAGAAACCCAGAAAGCCACAAGGCCAGATGAACTGTATTTGTAAAACAACAAAATGAGACGAGAAACACTAAATCCTCCTCTGTCATCAGCTTTTTTGCCCATTTATTTACGAAGCTGGAAAAAAATAACTATCAGAGTATGTTTGCAAGAGGAAGCTCAAGCCAACTGAAAACATTTCTTTATGCATAGCCTATAGCCAGATAAACAGATCTGTAAGAAAGTCAAGAAAACTGCTACATTTTGGAAACCCAACTCATTCAATCACAGAACCTGAACAGCACAGGCAACATAGCTACAAGCTTCTTCCCAGCCTCAGGCTAAATAGTTCAGAAACCTGACCTTCAGGGGGCCCCAATTCGTACCAACTATCAATCCCATTTTAAGCAGAAAGCAAAATACCACATTCTCCAAATAAACATGCTCAAGCACAGCAAACTTGTACACAGCATTACTTGTGTACTCCCCACATATGCTAGTGTTCTTGTGTCTTTCTGCTTCCACCAGAAATGTTCTGCTATGAAGACTGCTGACTGGAATAAGAAAAACAGTTAGGCACTCTGGATAAATCAACTAAAATGAAAAAAACACTTTAACCAGCAAAACCTTAAGGCAGCAGTTCTCAACCTTTCTAGGCTCAACACACCCCTCATTAGACTAGAGACCCGCTTCTTGGAAATACTAAGTCTTATTTTCCACTCTTTTTTGTGTGTGGTAAAATAAGAGCAGCAGTGTCTCTGGGGCACAGCACTGGGAGCCCGCAACAGGCCAGGATGGATTTAACACTCAGAATCCCTGCTTGAGTCTCCATGTTTATCGTTTGCACGGGGAGCAGTGCTCACTGCGTGCGGCACCCTGGGGCCCCCTTGAAAGGGCCTTG